AAAAAAAAAAAACGGTAACCTGGTTGCCGAGTTCACGAAGTGAATTGGCTTGTTTTTTAACGTCTTTGCCAAGCGACGAAACCCAATCCCGATGGCAAACACCGGGGGGGGCGGCTTGATTTACAACGTCGTTGCCAAGCGACGAAAACCCAACGCAGATGGCAAACACCGGGGGGGGCGGCTTGTTTTACAACGTCGTTGCCAGGCGACGAAAACCCAACCCCGATGGTAAACACCGGGGGGAGTTGGGGGTACTCATAGCTGTGCGTGGGGGAGGGGGGGGGGGATACTGTGCTTTCTCACGTCTTGTGGTTTGCGCGATGGTATGCTCAGGAGCATTCCTGCTGGCTCTGCTCAGCTCCACTCTGCTCTGCCGGCTCTGATTTTGTATTTTTTTGCCTTGTTTTTGCTCACACTGCTCGGCCCTACTTCGCTCTCTCCGCTCTATTGTCTTGTTGTTGTCATCCTCTTGTGCTCTTGTGCCGTGTTTGTGCGTGATCAGAGCACCTGGCCCGAGGCAGAGGTAATCGCGAACCAGTGCTCTAACGACGAGCTATTTCTGTGCTTCTACAGAGAACTGCGCAACAGGCACATGTTTGCCACCACCAATAATGTGAGTCCCAACCCTCCCGCCCCGCGCATTTATTTTTTTTGCTTTCCCCCCAACGCCAACGTCACAAAGCGATGGTGTTTTCTCTTGGTGTTGCTCTTGTGTTCTTGTCGGTCCGGTGCACTGGGGTGTTTGAGAGGGAGATAGAGAAGGAGAGAGTGGGCTGGTTGGTGCTTGATGTTCACTAGCAGCACCTTCGTCTCGCGCTGCCCCAATGTTTTCTGGCAAACTTTTTGGCATCGTGTGCGATTAGTTTCTTTCGAGCAGCTCAAGTATTGGTTCGAGAGCTTCTGCCGGTTGCTCAAACCTCCTTTGTTCCTCCGAAGACACATATCTACGATGCACAAGCAGCGGCGGCAGCCGGGAGGTGCATTTGAAATTTGACAGAGAAAGTGGTAACGAGAATTCGGCTGTACAAGAGCTGAGGGCATACATGTAGGGGGTTGCCAAGAGCAGCTCAGTTGCCACTGAGTAAAATACAATGGACACGCTGTGTGATTGTGCTCTTCTCGGGTAGGCTGGATAAATCGAGAGACGTGGCTGTTGGAATTCGCCATTTTTTTTGCTTCGGTTTTACGAAGGATGCTCGATCCAGGCTGTTTTGGAAGCAAGACACAACGGGAAGAGGGGCACCGGTGTGTGCCGATACCCGACGTCTTCCGGACGATTCGTGTCTTCTGCCGCTGTCGACAACACCCTGTTGCTGTACAGGTTCAGATACCGGCCTACCTCCTGTCGTGGGAGAACTACTGCCGGCTGTTCGACGCCCTCCTCGACTGCCGAGACACGAACTTCGTGATCACGGAGGAGTGGGCGTTCGACCTGGTGCACGAGTTCGTATACCAGTTCCAGTCCTTCTGCCAGATGAAGGGGCAGGTGCGTTGCTGTTGCTGCTTCCGCTGCCGCTGTTGTTGCTGTTGCTGTTGCTGTTGTTGGTGGTGGTGGTGGTCATCTTGTATGTCGATGGTAGTTATTTGTGTCGTTCTTTGGTTGGTGAAGGTGGTAAATGTTGTACATTTTCCCGTGCTTTTCTCTTACATGTTTATGCATACCATCTGTCTTCTCTGGCCGTCGCTTTTTTCGTGTAGCGTCGAGGGGGGGAGTCGGAGGAGGAGCCGGAGGACGCGTGGGCGGTACAGAACGTGATCGGCTACCTCCACGGCCTCATCAAGGTTTCGAACATCATGCCCATTCTCGAGGTGAGCCTCGTGGGCGTGGCGGTCCTTGTCGCACACGGAGAGAGATAGATGCCACCGCACCCGACGCGGTTGTCCTCCCGCCGCTGGAGACCGACGCGTTGTCATCGGGGTCAATGCAAGCTAGAGAAATCCACACACTTGAGTGAGACTGAACGTGTTGCCGTTGGTCAGCCGGGTATTGCGGTCGATGCTAGCTAAGTTCACACACGCGGTGAGTGCGATCGACGCTTATTTTATGAAGCACATTCAAACCATCCCCAGACACAGCTGCCTCATTGAGGTTGCCAGTATCGAGCCGGTTCTATGAATTGCGTCTCTTTTTGTGTGCCCGTCGTTACGAGGACGCACTCCGCCTTACCGCGTCATGGACAATTCCGGCACGATGTCGAAGACTGTGGAAGGATTGCAAGGGTTATTTGTCTGGTCTAGCAAACTTTCCACCTCTCCTCCTTCGGTGAAGCGAGAAGTGGTGTCGATGCAGAGTCTCTCACCCTGTCTGGTGAGGTTTTCGTTCCCATACAGGCGCCGCTGTCTTGTTGGTTGTCTCACATACCCTACCCCCCACACCGAAAAAGCATGTTACCGGAACACCCTCGTTTTACTACGTTTTTGTGTACGTCAAACACTTGCGTGTGTGCTCCCGCCTGATACATGGAACATATACACCGAGCGGTGCGTAGACTGGCGCCAGAAAAATAACAGGAACGAAACACACACAATATTCTGTCCGTTTGCACATTGTTATTATCTCGGGTGTTTTTCTCGGATGCGTGCGGTTCTGTGGCCTGGTCCCCAGGCGAAGAAGAGGCCGGCGGCAAACGTGGCGGTGCCCGCGGCCCCGTCGCAGCTGCACCAGATGGCGGGGTACTTCGCCATCGTGGGCATGTCCAGGCTGCAGTGCCTCCTTGGGGATTTCTACGAGTGTGAGTTGGTGTTGTTGTTGTTGTGCTCCTTTTCGGCGCTGGTCTGTTGTTGTTGTTGTTGGTGGTGGTGCAGCTGCTGGTGTTGTGTTGGGAGTGGACGCGTAGGCTGCTGCTGGGCTCCTTGCTTGTGCGGTTCTGCTGGTGGTGTGCTGTGGTCTAGTGATGGGTGCTGGTGCTTGTGCTGGTGGATGCCACTGACGAAGCCACTACTGTTTGCTGATTTGATGAATTTTCCCCCCAACTTCACATCGCACTCTGGATTTCTGGTGGTACCTGTAGACACGCGGGTCCCACCGGGTCCCCCGGCCACCGACCAAATCCTCAAGTGTTTCCTCTGGATTGCATATCGTACAAAATCCACCATCTCGAACGGGTAGTCTGTGTGTGTGTTTTGCGTGTTTTCCTAAACACCCAAGAAGTCGATTCTCAAGCAAGAATCCCCCCCCCAAAAAAAACGCAAGATCCAAACACTGTTGCACATACCCCCCCCCCCCCCCCCCCNCACCCTCGAGGCAGTTACACAGTGCTAACAACTGTCTCTGGAAGTGAAAGCACCAGAAAATACAATAAATCATACGCAGCTGTCATCCGTACGCAAGGACGTAAGCACAAGGTGCCGAAAACCCTTGGCAGGATGCGACGCACCCTTCATGCGACTCGCCGAATACCTCACGGCGTTTCGCGCTTGGTGATGTGAGAGCCTGGTCCGGTGAGAACCTGGCGTGCTCCTTCCCGGCTATGTAGGGATGCGAGGTCAATGGTCTAACGACTACGGCATGCACGACTATGAGTACACCCCCCCCCTCCCTGCCTGCACTCGCGTACTCTCATCGACGGACTTATCGAACGTGCAGGCATCAAGGTGCTGGAGGCCATCGACATCACGGACAAGAACGAACTGTTCGCAGGCAACATGCTGGCGTTTGTCACGGTAAACCACCACGCCGGGCTCGCCTTCCTCATGCTCAGGCGCTACAAGGACTCCGCGCGCATCCTCAGCGAGGTAAATAGCTGGGTTTTTTTTTTTCCAATGCTCGGTGTTTCGCTCTTCGATGCTTCGTGTTTCTGTTGTTTTGTAAGGATACAGGTAGAAAAGGAGGAAATCGCCCCGGACAAACTTGAGAGAGATGGTAACTTTTTACGAAGAGGATCTCCAACTTTTTTCTTTTCAGAAAGCGGATCCCAACGACCTGCAAGATGCTCCGCTAGAATCGTATCTTGTGTCTTCAATACTTGTTTGCTTCTATATGCGCTGGTGGTTAAGCCATCCCTACCCTCGGCCTCCACAGTTGTTCGGTTTTTGTCAACGGTGTTGGTTTTCAGTTTTTATCCCTATCGTGTTTCGTATGCGAAAGTAGTCAGGCGTTTGCACCTTACCCGGCAGATTACGCGCGTGTGTGCAGGTAATTTTTTGTCGGTTTACACGGGAAGGAGTGCAAGATGATGGAGACAGAAACGATGGCTGTTGGCCTAGCTTTTCCGGTGTAGTCCAGACTCTGCTGTTCTTTGCCCAAAGCTGACCGTGAAGGCGACCCATGCGCACGCGTTGTATATTTCCACCTATCCCCCCCCCTTCGGTCCCGGTCTTGTAGGCATGCGAGGCCAATGGTCTATCGGCGACGGCATGCGTTTTTACAAGATAACCCCCTCCCCCCGCCGCCGTCGAACCGCCAGTAGCGCCGTCACCCTCAATCGCCCCCCTTCCACCTCCATGCCCATGTTGTTATTGTTGTTGTTGTTTGCGTTCCTCCTCAGGCGCTGGTGCACGTGGGCCGCGCCAACCGTAGCGGGCAGTTGCAACGATCGGGGTACCAGGACGAGGTGCCCAAGACCGCCGACAAGATGATGGCACTCATGGCCATCGCCACCAGCTTGGCCCCTGGGGCCAAGATCGACGAACAAGTTAGTGCAGCAGTAGTAGCTGGTTGAGTGCAGAAGCTACGATGGATAAGCTTGCTGCGTTGGTTTCGATGACAACCATTTCTTTGGGGGGGTATTGTGGTGTCCTATTAACCCCTCCCCCACTCCCTTTGTACCTCACGGCGCTTCTTGCTTGGTGATGTGAGAGCCTGGTCGGGTGAGAACCTGGCGTGCTCCATCCCGGCTTGGTAGGGATGCGAGGTCAATGGTCTAACGACTACGGCATGCACGACTATGAGTACAGCCCCCCCCCCACACTCCTGTATATAGGATAGGGGAAACATATTTGAGACACATTTGGCCATGAAGGAAGGAACGATTGGCCATCGGTGATCGGCCCTGTGGGATCAATGCTCCTCCGTCCTCTTGAGGACACGCAGCCGATGGCATAACCGCTAAGGCATGTACAACATAAGAGTACGCCCCCCTCCGCTCTACATGCACAACGCTGCTTCTGCTGCTGCTGCTGCTGCTGCGGACACATGGTTGACCCAGGCCTCTTCTGTCCTTTTTTTTCTTTTTCTTGTTTCTCGGGTGTGATTCGCGCACAGATGCAGTCTAAGATGCAGGACACGCACCGGGACAAGCTGGCCAAGATGGCCAAGGGGGACGAGCAGGCCTTCCGCGACCTCTTCTCGTGGGCGTCGCCCAAGTTCGTGAGCTCCGTCGGCAGCCGAGAGTTCTGCGATATGCAGGTGGGTGTTCCGTCTGTGCTTTTTAAGTCTTGCCAGGAGGAGAACCCATAAGTCCTCTAGGAGATGTGGTGCTTGGTCAAGGCGGCCACAAGGAAGACAGCAGCATTAGGGTAAGACCGAGTACGGTGGACTCTCCGGTGGAAGCTCCGACAATAATATATATACTGTCTCGTGTCCCCCTCCTTGGGTTTGCACGCGAGTTCCGGTTCTGGTTACTGGATGTATAGAGTTAGTTTGTCGGGTCCTGACCGGCCGTCGAACACCGGTGATGATCCATTCCACCACTGCCAGGTGTTTTTTTTTGTTTGTTTTTGTTTTTTTTTTCTCCCATCATTGGATTCTGTCGTCTGCCCCTCTGGTCCCTATCCTCCACTTCTACCAGCTAGACGACCCAACCGGGGTCACATAGGAGGGGGGGGTTGGGCCCTCTCCTGCGGTTTCTGTCTGAGATATTTTTATCGCGAGAAGGGTACAGTAATCCCTTCCCTCGCGACTTATGAAGTCGATCAAGTTCACTAACAACGAGCTTTGAAGCGCGTCGCTTCCAACGGAGACCAGGATTTAATGAGCGAGAAAAAAACTCACTCTGTCTGGACTCGAAACCCATGACCTGGCCCTTAGCAGGCTACGAGGCTACCCACTAGACCACCGGGGCGACCGGTGTTCCCCTTTGGGGTCTTGCTACAATACGTTCGGTTTTTACTCGGTTGGTTTCTTGCTATGTAAGGAACGGCCTCGCAACTTACGTTTTTTTTTACATTCTTTCTATGCATGTTTTGGCTCTCTCGGCCTTTCGTGATATTCTGTCCCGAACGACGTTCGCTAATTAAACAGACGCAGCTCTTTATGGAGGAGGTGAAGCAGCAGATCCTGTTCCCGCAGATCCGATCTTACCTGAAGCTCTACACCACCATTGGCCTGGAGAAGATCGCCAGATTCAACGACCTCGACGAGGAGCAGTTCAGCGCGCAGCTCGTGTCGATGAAGCACAAGCTTACACAGGTACATGAAATGATGTTTGTCGTTGATTGTACCAAGAGCGCGTCGGGTTCTTTTGTTCCCCAGGGTTGTCGTTGTTGTGGTTATGTTTTCATGCGGTATGGCTTGCCTCCTTTCTACTCTCTACCACCAGTTGTTCCACTTCTCGACGTTTCTTTTTCTGTGGCTGTTGTTAGGAGATCCCCTTCGTGACGGAGACAACCTCCCAACGTCTGTCTGTCGGGGTCGATTGATGACCTCTTTTCACACCGTTCCGAAACAGCTTTTGCGGCGTTGTTTCCACGCGTGTGTTTGCGTGTGTGCAAGATGGACTTGGGCGCATGCCTCTTCACGCTGTTTCCAAACATTTTTTTCCGCGTTGTTTTCTCCACGTGCGTGTTTGTGTGTGTGCAAGATGGACTGGGGCATGTCTGGGGACACGTCTCTCCTGGAGGGAAAGCCGGGGTTCGCCATGGACTTCAACTTCTTCGTGGAGGACAAGACGGTCGTCATCGACGAAGCGGATGCAAGGGAACAACAGGGGTGCGTGCTTGTGCCTGAGATGGACGCTCAGGTTTATCACACCCCCCACATTAACATTAGAATATACCCGAAACGAAAAACCCGACCTACCCGCATTTTTATCGGCGCCGTTTTACTTGCGGAGATGGATTCTTCGATATGATCCAGTTTTCCTCGCTGAGATGGATGCTTGGATATGGTAACGGTTTTCCATGTTGCTCTACTGGTACGCTATGGTGCGCTTGATCGCCCGCCGGCGACAATCTCTCGGAGAGACGGACACACAGGAGTGGCAAGTTGGCTACGAAGCTCGTTTTGGAAGCACGACGGTACCCGAAGCACCGATGCCGGGGAACAAAGATCGTCGTGTTGACGACTGCTGTTGTTTGTTTTTGGTGCTGTTATTTGGTGGTGCAAGGTTGGCTGGTGCTGTTGATTTCTGTCGTCTCGGCGTGGCTTCAGCATCATTGCTGTCGGTCGCTGTGGCAACTTGTTTGTGCTGGTGTTCTCTGCTTGGTTGTCATCATGTCCCACGAAGTTTGGTGTGCTCTCTCTAACTCGATCCCCATGTCTCCCTTCGTTTCGCAACGTTCTGCCGTATTCCATGCCCCTTTTTCTTTTTTTTTCTGCCCAGGTACGAGAATTACTTCATGTCGCAGATTGCCAAGTGCGAAAACGTCACTTCGCAAGTAGCGCAGATCGCAATGTAGGTGTTTTGCATGAAGGAGGGGGCCTGGTGGAGGCGGGGGGGCGAGGGGCTACCCCTAGACCCGTGGGTCCTTCTAAAGCCCGTATTCAGGGGTGTTGCGTACAGGTTAGAAAACTTTTGACTCTGTTTCGTGGCAATGCCTCTACGAAATATCGGTTCGGTTGAGAAGGTGTTTTTTGTTGTTTGTTTCACCTCGGCCAACTTACTCGCCTCACACAGAGAGTAAAAAGTAAGAGATGGATCTTGGGCAGATGGCCTCAGGGTATGTCAAGTATGGCCTGTACGGTCGAGCTTAAGTCTTGTCTTGATTTGGCTCGAGTTTTTATTTTTGAACGAGTCTATGGTATCCCTCACGAGGGGACCTGACGAGGAGAGGAAGGTTTGATCGTAAGACCTGGTGTTGCTGCCCACCCATTGGCGGGCGACGTGAGCCCTGTTGTAGGCCGAAAAGCTGGCACGATTGGACACACGCCCCTCAGTTTCAAAGCCGGCCAGTCGCCCTGTGTCTTGGTATCTACAGGGGCGCTGTTTTGCACCCAGCACAGCAGCTGGCTGGGGCGGACGGGCTCCCTTTCACGCGGAGACGAAAAAGTTCCTAAATTACGCATTCGTGCCCAGCCCTGCATGTTTTCCGGGAAGGCTCACGGGTGGACATGACGAACACCATGACGCCTGTCTCCTTCAAGTCTGCTCTGTCCACCGGCCTCGGGGGGTGATGACTGAAAATGGTTTGGCGCGGCGTGCCTACCTTACCTTTTGGCCCACTGGTTTTGCAGGCCAACGGATTCAATTCAATCTCGCCGTGGAACTAGGTGCGCGGCGCTGTGGTTTCAGATTCCGCAAGTAGTCGGGGAGTACACAAAGAGGCAAAGCTTCCTGTCGATTGATTCGGGAACGTAATTTCCAGGGTCCATGCTGGCGTCGTACTTGGTACAACCAGCCAGAGGAGCAATAGAGTGCCAAGACTCCAGTGAGAGGCACGGACGCCATGTTCTGCAAGAAGGGAGCGCCGATCACTTCTTGCATCATTAGTCCCTTCTTTGTACACAGGGCATACATTCGGGTGTAACCAACATCCCCACCTTGGCATTGTTTGTTTCTCGAGTTGAGATTCCACTTACCGCTCAATGCCTTTAGCTTAGCTCGTCGGCTTCGAGTTACTTTTTTTTCGCCGAATGACGCACTTGGTACGTTGTAGGCGCTTGTTCCCTACCCCACTACCCCACGCCGGACAGCACTAGGCAGAAAACAATGATGAGACACGGACAACGAAACGTCGCCAACATATACCCAACACGCCCAACACGCACTAGGAATGTTTCGTTTCCATCAACCAGGCCAAACACCCCCCGTCAGCCCAACAAGCGGGGAAGACAAAACGCATACACCAAACCAAATGCCCTACTCATGTTTGCAGACATGCGCACTGTTGGGGTTTAGGGTTTCGGGCTGCTCTTCTCCTAAAGGGTTGCGCCAGATACCGATCTAAGAGAACGAGGGCGACACCACCATTGACGCCATGGGGGGTCACACGAACCCCTCCCCGCCACGGCCGGATGGCTGTCGGGGGGGGGGGGCTGNGGGGGGGGGGGGGGGGGGGGGGGGGGGGGGGGGGGGGGGGCTGATGACGCGGGTCATTCTTGCAGCTCCCGCGTTGCAAAGGGTGCGCAGTCGCGGAATGAAGTGCCTCCCGGCTGCGAAAGTAGTAGCGCTGTCGCGCCCCTTCACTCGCATAACACGAAACGAAAGCCCGGGCTGGCTGCCATGTGCGTCTGTCTCTTTCTCTTCTCTCTCTCGCCCCACCACGCGATGAGCACTTCCTCCGTGGTGGCCCCTATACCATCGATGAGGTGTGATTTTTTTTTTTTTCATATAGTGCTACATGCGGCCCATGTTGACGTCGCCACAAGTCCCACGCACCCGTTCCTGTTCACGAACACCTACAACTCTCAAAAATCCTTCAACAAGAACAAGCAGCACGCATTCGCACAGCGCGAAGCACTACTGTTGTTGTGATATGAGGGGAGGTGGTCATCAGACCTCCAAGCTCCGTTGAATATGACAAGGGGGGGGGGGGGGNCTCATCAGACCTCCAACCCTTCCCAGAAGGCCTCCGTCGCCAGCGGCGAAGCCGCGATGGTCTTAAAGAAGCGCACATTGATCGCCATCGACTCCAACATCTGCGAAAGCTTGCGCGCGCTGTTGGGCACGGGGTTCGCCTCGAAGAACGCCTTCACCTGTAGCGCCGCCGTCGGACCGGCGGGTGTGTGCACAGAACAAGCATTTTGGTCAATTCAAGTCAAGCACACGCACGGCGAAGAATGAGGTCACCTGACGTTTCCTACTGGGAAGAAAGAGGAGATGGCCGTGATTGATGTCCACATACGAAAAACGCCGGGTGCGTAGACAGAAGAAGCAATTAGGTCAAACAAAGCACACGCGCACGAGAAAGAATTAAGGGTCAGGAAATAAGCGAGAAGGTTCTCCACAGGTGAGAAATAAGATGTCCCCGTGTCTGATCGCCAGATAACAACAAACAACGCCGGCAGTCACGAACAGCCTGACCCCCCCCCCCAACTATACTCGTCCCATCCACCCCCCCAGCTCGACATAAAATGCCTTGGTATTCAAGTACCTCAACGAACAGCTTGACTCCCCACCCATCACATTAGTCGATTTTCTTGTCCAATCCAACCCCCAACCGCCTCCGTATCTACCGTACCTCCTCCATCCTGTCCTCCTCAGTGAAGCCCCCACAACAGTACAAGATCACCGCGTCCATGAGAGAGGGCGACGCTTTGGCGAGCATGCCCTTGATCCTCTCGAAGTTCGCTTGGAAGAATTCCCACGTGAGGTCCTGCCCCAGCTTGCCGGAAGACGCCACGCTGCGGTGATTACCCCGGTAATAAAACCACAATACAACACAGTTGGGCGGGTGGGAAGGCTGTTATTCTTACCGTGCTTATCCCTCCGTTCGGTTTCACAAGTGGGCACTCGTTGCAAGCCTTTCTACATGTCATCTGTTCTGATCCACGGACCCCCTTCGTGGTTCCATGATTTCGACATTATTGTACTGCGGAATAGTTTTCGACGATGTAGAGTTTGGGATGAAATGAGGCCTCCTGCTACGGCATGGGATCCACCTTTACTTCATGTCTTTTAACCTTTTATCCCTTGTCGTTGCCTGAATTTAATCCCCAGACTTGTGTCTGTGGTTAAAAACCGCAACAACAAAAAACAGTTTCCATTTTGCGGGAGAAGGCGTCCAACACACCGGTGGGAGGGAGCCACGCGTAGAGTGTGCTGCTCGTGCACGGCGACGCCGCTTTCGCGCACTCTCGTCCAAACCCTCCTGCGTTGGCATTTATAACCCTCACGGAACACTGCCACTTTGCCTCAAGACCAAAACTTTCAGCGACGAGGCTTTCGCCCACCCTCTCGTCGAAACCCAGACGATGTCCAAGAGACAAAACACGCATCTTGGGGGTCATGCCAACATCACAAACAGAAAACGGGCGGGAGAACTTCTCTGCACTTCGACGACCCCCC